AGATCATTTCCATCTGCTGCTCATTACATTCGATTCATCCTTTTCAAATCTCTCCCGTATTATCAGTGTCATAATCCAAGTTAGATTTGACACTGGAATGAAATTTGAAGGGAAATCTAATTTAATGAATGCATTTGTCTTTGTTTTGTTTTGTTTTTTTCATTAGATGAGACATTCTTAATTGCCCAGTCTTTGCCAAAGCAAGAAAAAAGAAAGGCTCTACGGCTCTGTGACTCAATCAGCAAACAAAGCCCACAGCCTTTTGACTAAAATAAAGCAGAATTTATAAAACTAAAAATCATAAAGTAATAATGTTTTGGACACAGGGGCTATGGCTAGCATGATTCTCCAGGGTTACAAGTTTTTTGAGCCTGCTCTTCAGCTCAGTGATGATGTAATGGAAATTTAAATGTAAAAGTATTAACACGTTTTCTTTGCTGCAAGGCAAAAACTCAACTAATTGTATTATTAGAGCAGATTAAAGCCATGATTATTGTCTTTATCAGCATATTAGACTTTGTTTTTACTCCTGCAACCTATTCCATTTTATGACTGAGCTGTTCAGCAGCAGTAACACCAAGCACCTGGGATCTAGAGGAAGTCTGGCAGTGAACTAAGGTGCATACGTCTGGCGTCTTCTAGAAACTGAGCCATCATTACAGGCCACTGTTGGTGCCAGCCTACTGGGATGATTGAGTGTCGAGTCAAACCTCAAGGAAACTATACCTGATTAATAAAGGGGGGAAAACTTATAAAGATCCTGTTCTTGATGACTTTTCTCTTCTCATTAGTTAGACGACAGAGATTAGTTAGACGTTAGAGAACATTTGCATGTTAGCCTTCTTGTTAAGACTTAGTTGAGAAGTCTTTTATCTCTTTTGTAAGCAACTGGACATAAAGCCTAAAAACTAGTAAAGGATAATCATAGCCTAACAAATTCAAACTAACAGCACTTTTAAAGAACTGACTAATATTTCAGATCCTATTAAATCTTATATATACATCCCACATCTGCTCATGTTAGAAGGCATCGTCTCCCTTACCACAGCTAATTTATGAACATGTTATTTGATTAGTCTGTAGGCAGAAGGAGTACTGACTGTGTTAATTTGTGATTTAAATAGTAGTTTTGCGATTGTTACTGGTCAGACTGTGAGGTTTTCAGAGAAACAGACAAAACATGAAGTTACTGAGGCTGGATTATAAGTTAGTTGCAGGCCACAGTATAAAGTGCTAAGGGTCTAATTTTATCTGCAATAACGATGTTCACCTACAAATACTTATCAATACACTTGTCGCCTGTTGATATACCAGAATAAGGGCGTAACAGTTCAAGTTTTTACACAGAAGATGAAATTAATAATAATTGAGTGTTTAATTTCCAAGTAATTAAGTGTAAAAACAAACAAAATTTCCCCAGCTTACACTGCAAATACATTGTACCTTTATGGATGTAGGCATTATTATTAAAGTCTTTTTCTGCAACTTTGATTTTAGCATTTCGGCCTTTGTTGTCTTAAATAAACCAGATTTGAACAGGAGGGTTGAGTACTAAGTTATCAGCTAACACCATAAAACTAGGCTGGCATGGTGCAACCATAAACAAACAGCATGTGTCCAATGCACAGACACTTGCTAATGCAGTACACAGTAATAAATAATACACAAATCATCAAAATCTGAGCACAGATTTTCCTTTTTCTTTTTTTTTGTACAGGCTGTTAGTGCCAGACTGTATACACAAGATGGACATAGCCATTGGTTTGGCTGCATTTACAAACAGTATGGGTGTAAGACAGAGAGAGACAGATTTCAGCTAATTAGTGCTAAGGAACAGGCTAAAGAAGAAATGCTAAAATGTTGGTCCCAAAAACGAAACAAAATTAAACAAAACACACAGTTGTGTTAAAAATGCTCAGTTGAAACGGTTGAAAGGTGTGGTTCGTTGGCTTAAATCACTGGAAGTGACGCCTCTAGTGGCTACAGAAGCGCCTTTGTTGGCATCCGTCTGCCACTGAAAGCAATGACCATAATAAGCAGTATAAGATTTCATTGCTTTATTGTGAATTAGACAGATACCAAGGCACTTTTTGTACCAGCAAAGACAAAGATATGTTTGTTCCTAGGAACTTTGATGGTCCTATGCTGGCTTGAAAAAAGCCCCTACAAATCCCCAAACCTAAAAACAAAAATTGTATCTTTACAATTTGTTTTCAATATGAACTGGTAATAAATGTTGAACTAGTCCTTTAAGTTCACAGAGGGCTCAATGTGAAGCTTGCTTTCACTTTAAGTGTGGTTTTATATACTTATATATATGTACATGATTTATATCTTGCTGCTTTCTTTTGATATCAAGCATCCCCTCACATTATGCCAACTAATTGCCAGAGATGAGGCCACAAACACAAGATGCATGGCGCTTTAGCTGGTTGAGCATGAAATCTAGTTAGCTTTAAAAAAAAAAAAAAGCAAGTGAGAGTGGGAGAAACAGAGCAGAGGGTGACAGAAAGTGTGGAAATTAGTAGGATGAAGATAAAACAAGCTATATGTGTCAGTGACCAGGGTGAAAGCCAGGAACAAGCATATGATCAAGCTTTATATCAGAAGGGAACGTTAGCACAATGAAATGGCAGATAGCAGCAAAACATTTGGACATTTTCTGTGTATTTGGCTGCAAGTGTGGTAACAGTCAGCTGCACGTTGGCAGGATTTATGTAGCAAAATGTCCATATATTATATATGTTTGTAGTCAATAAGGCCAAGTAGTCTGGATTTTCATCTTGTCTCCTTTTCTCTTTATCTCCATCATGTCTTTTTATCTTTCCTGATCTAACAGTGTGTTTGAATGGTGCAGAGATCTCTGGGGCACAGTCTATGACATCAGACTTTGCATTTCAGATTTGATGATGTTAATCATCTGCCTTTTGGCAACAAAACAAGCCGAGAGGGGAGAGCTAAAGAGACACATAGGGAGAAGACGGACAGAGGAAGAACGAGACGGAAACAGAGCGATGAGAAACAGAGTGAGAAGGCGTGCAGGGGGGGCTGAGAGGAGGAGAGGGGACATGAAGATCTGAGAACAGACAGATGCTGGCATGTGAGGTTAGAGATGGAGCCCAGAGATACAGTCACACTTCGAGTCCATGAGATAGGGAGGGGAACGGAGGAGAAGGAAGGAGTGAAGGAAGCAAGGAATAAAGGGGAAAAAGGACAGTAACACAGAAAGAAATAATAGTATAGAAAGTGTATGTAAATGTTTGGCTGTAGTCATAAACACTGAGCTACTTAAGAACCACGTTTCTGAATTTCTTTAAGGGAAACGGGCTGGGTCGGTCTCTCCATCGTTGCCCTTCTACTTTCTCTGTTTTGCTCTGTGGCTTTCACCTTGAGGAGTCGACGTGAAGCTTGTCACTCAAAATCACTGTCACTACAACAGTATACAAACACTGGCTGAAATTGCTCACAGTGAAACAGAAAGAATTAAAAGAAGCTGTGCACTGACTGATGTGTTTTGGGGTTTTTTTATTACTGGTGGCTAGGAATATGTTTTTAAGAAGGCGCATTACAACTGTGGGTTTACAGTTTGACTCTGGCGTGCTTTCTTCTGAAATAAATACTCATATTTGCAAAATAAAAGAGTGAACATGCACCAGCGAGTGAACGTCCACACCAACATGAATATCATGTACACAACCCACAGATCAATCCACTTAGTGGCCGTGAAATATTGGGAGTAGGCTGGCCACTCTGCGAGTCTGACATCACCATATTCAGCCATTAGGCTAAGTGCCATCATCTCTCTAGGACTGAACTTGGGCTGCATTTAAAACCAAAACATGTAGTCCTGGCTCCTTTAGAACCATCTGGAATATCTTAAACCTGTTGATTAAGTGTGAGGTTCAGCATGTCAGCCGAACAGGCTTGCACTCCTACACTTTTGCTTAATTTGGGCTGCGGACAGATCATCTGTTACATCTATTAATGCTGCAGTACAAATATGGAAGGTCAAATTTAGACAGAGCCAGAGATAGCTTGACTGTGCAAGCGATATCTCCACTTGATGGCATGGGTTTGTAAACCGAGTTAACGTCTTGCAGGGCAAACAGAGAGTTTTCCACACTGAGCTGAAGTACTGGTCTGCATGCTGGAAATCTCAAGAAACTAAACTTTTAAGGAAGGTTTGAGACAACTTTATCACCAATTGCCTAATCAACGCAAGGTGATATTGAAATGTGTCCAGCAAAATAGGGAACTGTAACATTTTATTTGGAAAACCAATCATCATTTGTATTATCTACTAATCAAGTAACCGTCATGATGAATACATTTACCATTATTCATCAATATTATCAGCAGAAGACAAAAATATCAATATTCTGAATAAATAATGGATTAACTGTGTCATTTGACCTGTCAATAACCAACTGCTGTCAAAAAGGACAAACTGAGGAGTATGCTTTCTATATGCTTTCCTATTTACAGTTCAAACTTTATGCACTGTAAACAAATGTGATTCATTACAGCAATCTACACATATAGCCAAATGTCAGAACTATCTGTGGACATGGTTAAGAGAAAGTTCAGACCTTAGTCTCCCTTCTTGGGATGATTCATGTGACAGCCCGCAATATGTCACACTGCTGCAGGCTGGCAATAAATGGGAAGCAGCTTTTAATATCATATTTCACAAAGTTAAAGTAACGGACAAAGCCCATGTACAATCCTCATCATCAGTTGGCAAGAAGAAGGACTGTTCTGCTTCCGAGAGAATTTCCCACAAAGTGCGCGTTCACAAACTTAATGTAAGCTTTAGACATGTTTAGCACCACATTTCTCTTTAAGTGATTACCAGGCTGCTTTGTATCTACCGTATAAGCAAGCTAACATGCCATAAAATGATACAGGTTCAGAAAAAAGAGCCACGTAAAAATTTCTATGATACAACACCGTATTACTTTAAAAAGCCAACAGGCTGTTTTCAGCTGTACAGTACTCACATCTGCGATGTTGGGAATTGCCCGCTCGACTCAGACGAAACAGTCGCCAAGAGTAGGAATAGACAAAGTGAGTAATCCATATCTTTGTTAATTTCCCTAAAGCAGGATTCAGCAGATGAACAAAAAAAAAATGGAGAAAAAAGAAGAAGAATTGCCCACAAATCCAAAGCGCCGCTCGTACTTCTCAAACCAAACGCCTCACACCGCCATCGGTGCGCGTTTGGAAACAAATCTCATCCGATAGCTATGTTCTCCCCACCGATGGAGTTGAAGGAGTGTGTTCTTTTTTTGGAGGGGGGGTGTAGCGTGTGTATCTGTGTGTGTGTGAGAGAGAGACACTCTTAAGTGAGTGTTTCAAACTGGGATAGGCTGTTAGAGCAAATCTCAAGCGTGTGTCCAAAAGATTTATAAAATAAAATAAAAAAAACACAGGAGAAAAGGGGAGGGCGCATTTACAGTAGAGCTCCAGCTCTGCCGACACAGCGGTGTCACTCCGCACACTGCAAAAAACATCGTGGGTTCGCGGGGATGAACACGTGGGGTGGAAGTGTGTTTGAGTGATTGTGATGATTTCACCCAAGTTCTGCGTGGCTCGGAAAAAAAACCTCGCAGTTTATTTCGAAAGTCTTTTAGAAATCTTTACACAAATGGGAAAAGTCAATCTATGCGTAGACATGTACACGTGACCTAATTTAAGATTTTAGGCAACTTAAAAAAAATTAGAATACACAACCCTTAATGGCACTTTTTCACCATGTTTTTTTGCAGTGTGTGTGGTCTCTTATGTTTGTGTTGCTGAGGCGTAAATGGGTTTCCGGGCGCCCTTCACGTCACCCAGCAACAGTTATTTACGGCACACTGGCCTTATCAAACATGGGAGATTCTAACAACACTGCAGCCCGTGTCTTTAGATTTAAGTTTTCCTCTGATAACCTTAAAAGCCTCGAGCTATGACCTCGAGCTGGTCATCATCATAAGTCACACACTCCACTGACTGTGCGTCTATATTATCCTTCCTACAATGGTCTTCTTCCTCACAGAGCTGACTTTTGAATGTTTTTTCATGTGCATTCTTGTAAACAACAAAGTCAGGTGACTTCCAGGGCAACTTTGCTCTTGTCTGGTCACATGCGTTGCTTAAAGCATTTCAGGCCGACAACCCAGTTGTAGTCCATGTCAGATTCAGTCAAGCATCTCAATAAATAAATAAAATAATACACTCTTCCCATCCAATAAAAGCTCTCCGTTTTATTATGTGTATCACGATGAACCTTCATTTAATTTTCAATAGCGCAGCGCCTCTTTTTTATGCAGAAATGTGATAATAAATTCCACTCGCTCCAAGGGCTGTGGCAAACTTAATATGGAGTGACATTTCCCTTTGCTGGGACAATCAGCAAGGTAAATACCAGAAGCATATACTGTATTTTCTAACGGGTTTGTCTTCAAAGCCCCTTGTCAGATGCAAAACTAATCTTGCTTCAAGCTCCTCCATTATTACAACCCCCACCCAAAGATAATTATTTTCTTCTTTTGGCTTGAATTTTTTGTCTGCTTGTTTTTGTGTGTATGGATGTCTGTCTGCATGCAGATGAGCTGTGTGGGTCACAATAGACAAACAAGGCAAAGTGTTGACCACCTGCTACGTGAATCCCACAAATAGATATGCTGTGCAAATAGCTGTCTATGCCCCCCCCCTCTCAGGTTTCACTATAGCTCATATAAAAGCTGTTCCTTTGGGACCTCTTGCCTGGCATGGCTCTGAGGTGGGGGATTGAAGTGTATTTACCGAGCAATGGCGAAGAGGAGGGGCCGGTTTGGAAAGAGTGTTGACCATATGGAGAGAGGAACGCTGGTTTAAAGGTTTAAGGGCTAACATACTATACACTATTAAAAAAAACCCAAAGAAATGAACTATATGTGGTAATTATCCGTTAAGAACGTCCACAGGTTGACTTTTAAATTAATTCTGAAGTGGAAAACAATGTACAATGTGTTCCCATAAAAAAAAACATAACAATCCCTCATGCTGCTCGTGTTTTTGAAACAGGCCAGCAAATGCAACACTCTCTTAAATAGGATTATATGGGTTTTTCACAAAGATTAGTTTTGGCTTACAAAAGCTTCTCAAAAACAGCAAATTCAGTATGACTAAATACATCCAATTTCCATAAAATCTCTGACTCAATGTTGTTTCATGCTATAATCAGTATTTTTAAGCCAACACTGGATCAAATGACTCAGTGTGATTTAAAGGGAGACACCTAAGTGACAAACTAAACTTCCTTCCTAGCATATTTTGGCTTATTGTTTTGCTTTGACTATAGCTTTTCTCCCTTTTTTCATTGCTCCATGTTCATACACAAAGTCTTGATAATTTATGTGCACTACCTGCCCTACCCCAAAAGTTAGTGCACAGGCAAAGCAGATATTTCTCCCCCATAGAGAATAAGAAAGCTGCAAAGAGAATGAATAATATGGCCATCAATATGACACGAATGCTAATCTGCTGAGGCCTCCACTGCAAAGCAGGATCTGAGGTTAGTCGGGTAACTTTGCCATGTTTACCCCAGTGGTTCAGTTCTTTGCGGGGCACCATGCAAGTCATGCAAGTCTTCTTGTGTGAAATATGCAGCTGTTTGCAATAGGTCACCTGGTTACAACACTACTGTTTCTGTTCTAATGGTAGATTCAGAAAGCCGGTGTTTTCTGGGAGACTTGATAACTGCCATCAGCTGTTTAGGTTTTACAAAGCAAGCTAACAAAAACCCAGCTGCTTGACTATCTATTTCCTTAAATTAAGGCTTCAGTATTTTGGAGCAATATACTTATTTATTTATTTTTTTTAATGCCATTTCAAAGCCAATCCTAATGCACCCCGATGGCAGCACACTTAAGTCAGCATATTCAGCAGATGGGAAATTGTAGGACAAAACTAAATAGGTTAAAAAGACAATACTATGAACACAGATAGAAAAAATGTTCTTCATTTGGCATTTAAGACTGTACCCTGTGTAAAGGTTGTGTTGATTTCAGTCATGCGATTCACTGCACTTTTGCTTTAACCTGTTGGCCACTAAAGTACAATTTGCTTCAGGTCATGTTTCCAGAAAAGAGCAGGAGGTAAAAATCAGCGCAAGTGTGTGTGTGTGTAACAGTGAGACAGGTGTGTGTCTGTTTCTGAGTGATTTAGAAATGTGTATATGCGTCTGGCGGGCAGCAGGTGTGGCCTCTGTCATCAGCTCGCAACCCCACCCACCTGTCCAGGGAATAGCCCCCCCCCCGGCCGTCGCCTAGCAATGCATTTGTCGTCAACTAAGCCACAAGGCTGTTTTTTCTCATCCACTGAGGTCACGCCTAACATGTCCTTGTAGAAATGAAGCTGCAGAGACAATCACATTTACAATCCCAATTCCAAAAAAGTGTGTAAAGAAAAAACACAATGATTTGTAAATCTTATAAACTCCTATTTTATCCACAATAAAAGATAGAAAACATATTTAAATATTTAAACAGAGAAAATGTATCACTTTTAAAGACTATTAGTTAATTTTAAATTTGATGGCAGTTTTATTGTCATAATTTTTGTTTCATGATGCACTAAATACAAACACAGCTGTTTTGGAATTGAGGTTGTAATTCACAAGTGTGTGTCGTCAATTTTATTCAGATCATCATTTAAAATGTAAGTTTAGTTTCCTGTCAGAAGGATAAAACCAGGAATTAAACTAGGCCTGATTGATTCAGGATGGCACTCTGGCAACTTTAGTTAATGAGGTTAATGTATATTATTATTACATTTGTTTTTTTTTGTTTTGTTTTTTTTAACTGGCCTGGCACTCCTTCCAGCCCCTGCATGCTACTACATCTAACATCTTCAGCGCGTCCTCTTTCCCTCCCATCCCTGTGATGCGTTCATGCTGCAGATGTAAAGTTGTGGTTGCAATGCTTCAGCGTCTCACTAGTTACAGAAGAGGAGCTATCATAAACAGAGTAACATGTTTTTTTTGTTGTTTTTTTATTGCTACATGATTCCAAATGCAACTTTTCAAACAGCTCAACAAATTTCACCAAACACACAAACTGTTTCTGTGAAGTCTGTCACAAAACATGCCTGTGAGCTAAATGTACAGCTGGTGTATTTCACTAGTAGGGAAGATCAGAGATTATTTTCAAAGGTCAGCAAATTAGATTTAAAATTTAAATCTTATATTTAATATCCTTGTTTATTTTGGAGTTTTAGATCTATACACAATGTTTAGCCTAATTATGCATTTGTAATAGGTGTGCTGACCCAGGGTGATATCTAAAATCTGCAGGACACTGGCCCTCGCGGTAGTTTAGTGCAGGCTACACCGGTTAGTTTGAATTATTCTGTCAAAGTTTACAGGGATGTTTGATTGAGGACTAGTTACATCTATGGTACTGTTACCAGGTTACAACTAAAGTACCAGACATAAATTTATATTTAGGGTAGGCTGATTAGATTCACTCACTGGGTTGTGCCTTTCATACTTAATAGTGTGTAGGGATTGGAAATCAGCCATTTAAGCTTGCACATGTCCTGATTCGTGTTTTGAGGTGAGAGACAAATGACTGCAGGTCCATTGTGCGTCAAAACAATGATTTTATTAAACACACGCGTGTGTGGAAGATGAGCTCCGTCACACAATCAGCGTCGATCTTCCCAGAACAATAAACGAGCAGTTGTATTTATAACATCAGGGTATCAGGAAATATAATGCCCCTTGTGCGTCCAAGCAGATAGATAACCTGCATCAGTTCCAGTAATCCTCAACATTGGACACATTCAAAAAAGAACAGTTCCTCCCTCTGTTCCTCCGCCACCGCCAGATGCTTCCTGTTATTTCACTTACTGCACTTCAGAACAGAGCATGAACATGCTGTTTACAAGCAAAACAAGTCTATATACTGTGTATGTGTGTACAGGCAGCCTATGTGTGTCTTGACCTCCGTGCATGACCTCACTCGACAAACAAAGACATTTTAGAAGTATACTTCCTGACTTATTCTGAGTCATTTGTTACCAGGCAAACTCCAATGTAGCAGGCTGCTGAACACACGCAGGCCTCTATTCTGTTTCTATATAATATGTGGTGTATTGTAGGCATGTATGCAATCCTTTCATAACTCTAGGTCATTTTATTCAATAGATCGGCCGGACATCGCGCCGGCCGAAGCTTCCAACCATTAATTAACTGACCGAGCTTCAACTCTTTAATAAGCACAAAAATGCAATGTGTATAACATGATTACAGTTGCACCTGCAATGAAAGATTATTATGTGATTATGCTAACACCTGAAATACAGACTTTAATGTAACATCAACAGCTTCATTAAATGCTCTGATGAAATGATAATGATAAATG